CTCCCCTCTCTCTCTCCCCTCTCTCTCTCCCCTCTCTCTCTCCCCTCTCTCTCTCCCCTCTCTCTCTCCCCTCTCTCTCTCCCCTCTCTCTCTCTCCTCTCTCTCTCTCCTCTCTCTCTCCCTCTCTCTCTCCCCTCTCTCTCTCCCCTCTCTCTCTCCCCTCTCTCCCCTCTCTCTCTCCCCTCTCTCTCTCCCCTCTCTCTCTCCCCTCTCTCTCTCTCTCTCATTCTCTCTCTCTCTCTCTCTCTCTCTCTCTCTCTCTCTCTCTCTCTCTCTCTCTCTCTCTCTCTCTCTCTCTCTCTCCCCTCCCCCTCCAGGGTTTGACTTTATTGACATGCTAAGAGATGTTACCTACATCAGCTCATTTGAAAGCATTTTTGTTGTTATGAAACATACAAGTATTTTATAGGGAACAGGATGAAGTTGGAGCCATCTGTGGGCCAGCATTTTCATATGATCAAATGACTTTATCTCGTTGACATCATTATGCTGTACGAATATGTTCCATACTCGAGTCATCCTGGGTATATATGATCTCAGATGGAGTGATGTTTTGGAGAAGGGTACAACCAGAGTGAAGTTGCTGCTTTCTGCCCGTCTTGTGGCATAAAAGCTTGTTTCACGTTGTCCTCGAAGTGGATCCAAGTGTGGTACTTTGACAATATTGGCCTTGTACATAACAGTAAGGCCACCCACATCCCTCCTGTGTTGAAGGCTCTGCTGAAATGACAGATCTATCCAGGATGGGTCCAGGCAAGAGATGAGACGTCTTGCTCTGTTCTCTACTCTGTCAAGCAGTCGCAGATGAGAGGGGGGGGGGGGCAGGTAAACCAAGAAAGTGGAGCATGCTCAAGGTGTGAACGTACTTGTGCCTCGTACAGAATCTTGCAACCTCTACTGTCAAGTAGATGCGAGATACGGCGAAGTGCTGTAAGCTTCCTGGCTGCCTTGTTTGCAAGATTTACAACATGGTTCTTCATGGTTAGTTTGGAGTCAAATTTCACCCCAAGGATATCAACTTCTTCTCCAGGTGCCAACACCCTCCCATTCATCCTTACTACTGCACCAGCATTACCATCATGGTGCCTAGAGACGATTATCATTTGCGTTTTCTCAGGTGCAAATGTTACTTGCCATCTATTTCCCCAAGCTGATATAGCTCTCAGCTGGTGATTGATGTAGCTTAGAGCAGCTGGCATTTCTTCTCTTGGATAAGTGAATGTCAGTGTACAGTCGTCTGCATATGCATGTGATTCTGGGATGAGATGAAGAAGGTCGTTGAAGTAGACATTCCATAACAATGGTCCCAGCACGCTTCTTTGTGGAACACTTGCCCCAATAGGATGTCTTGCTGATTCCGTTCCATTGAGAACTACACTTAGAGATCTGCCATGAAGGTAATCACTGAGGAGACATAGCGTAGAGCCTGCAATTCCCAGTGCTTGAAGTTTTGCTAAGAGGCCCTGGTGCCACACCCGGTCGAAAGCGCCAGCAATGTCCAGTGCTACCACACAGCTGACTTTGGATTCATCCAGTGACTGGTGCCACTTAGTGGAGAGGTTTAACAACAGATCAGCAGCAGAGTAACCTTTCCTGAAGCCATATTGACGATCACAAAGTAGTGAGTGATAGTCAAAAAACTCTTGTCATTTGTCTTGAGATTATTGTCTCAAGGATCTTACCAGTGATTGACAGGAGTGACACTGGTCTGTAGTTGCTGATTTCTGCTCTGCTCTTCTTTTTGTGAACAGGGACTACATTTGCCTCTTTCCATAGAGAGGGCCATTTACACTACTAGGCAGTGCTGAAAGATGCGAGTTAGAGGTGCTGCTAGCTGGTCTGCACATCTTCTCAGCAATCTTTGGCTCAACTTGTCTGGGCCCACAGCCTTTTCTTGGTCAAGCGATTTAAGAAGGAAATGCACCTCCTCCTGCCTTATTGTCACCACTGACAGTTTTGACACAGTTCTTGCAGCTAGCCAAGGAGGGTCCCTTGCTGGATCAGGAACTTGCATTTTGGTAGCAAAGTGTTCAGTGAAGAGGTCCGCCTTCTCTTGACTACTAGTAGAGGTGGTCCCATCCTGTCGATTTAGAGGTGGAATGAGTTCATCAGGCAGATAACCTTGTCTGTCCTTGACCAGGGACCACCAGGTTTTGGACCCTACCCTACCTGATGCTAGCTTTCTTTTAGTGTCCACCTCCCATTTAGCAATGGCCCACTTTTGAACGTCACCCATATGCCTACAGGCTTGCCTGTGCAAGTTCCTGTTATAGGTGGTAGGATGTCTCTTACTCCTTCGCCATGCTTTGTACTTAGCAGTAGCAGCCTCTCTACAACGAAAGCCAAACCAAGGCTGATCTGTAGGCTTTGTCACATATTGCCGGTGAGGAATGTGTTTCTCTCTTTCTCTCTCTCTCTGTCTCTGTCTGTCTCTCTCTGTCTCTCTCTGTCTCTCTCTGTCTCTCTCTCTGTCTCTCTCTCTGTCTCTCTCTCTCTGTCTCTCTCTCTCTCTCTCTCTCTCTGTCTCTCTCTCTCTCTGTCCTCTCTCTCTCTCTCTCTCTCTCTCTCTCTCTCTTGTCTCTCTCTCTCTCTCTCTGTCTCTCTCTCTGTCTCTCTCTCTGTCTCTCTGTCTCTCTGTCTCTCTGTCTCTCTCTCTCTCTCTCTCTCTCTCTCTCTCTCTCTCTCTCTCTCTCTCTCTCTCTCTCTCTCTCCCCTCTCTCTCTCTCTCTCTCTCTCCTCTCTCTCTCTCTCTCTCTCTTTTTTTTTTTTTTTTTTTTTTTTTTTTTACACATGGTTTGACAAGGTTAAGGATCCCTAGCTTTATTGACAAGCTATTTACAGGTTAAGGATTCCTAACTTTATTGACAAGCTAAGAGCTGTTACCTACATCAGCTCATTTGAAAGCATTTTTATTGTTATGAGACATACAAGTAGGGAACAGGATGAAGTTGGAGCCATCTGTGGGCCAGCATTTTCATTTGATCAACTGACGTTATCTCGTTGACATCATTATGCTGAACGAATGTGTTCCATACTCGAGTCATCCTGGGTATGTATGATCTCAGATGGAGTGATGTTCTGGAGAAGGGTACAGCCAGAGTGAAGTTGCTGCTTTCTGCCCGTCTTGTGGCATAAAAGCTTGTTTCGCGCTGTCCTCGAAGTGGATCCAAGTGTGGTATTTTGACAATATTGGCCTTGTACATAACAGTAAGGCCACCACACATCCCTCCTATGTTGAAGGCTCTGCTGAAATGACAGATCCATCCAGGATGGGTCCAGGCGAGAGATGAGACGCCTTGCTCTGTTCTCTACTCTGTCAAGCAGTCGCAGATGAGAGGGGGGACAGGCAAACCAAGAAAGTGGAGCATACTCAAGGTGTGAGCGTACTTGTGCCTCGTACAGTATCTTGCAACCCCTACTGTCAAGCAGATGCGAGATACGGCGAAGTGCTGTAAGCTTCCTGGCTGCCTTGTTTGCAAGATTTACAACATGGTTCTTCATGGTTAGTTTGGAGTCAAATTTCACCCCAAGGATATCAACTTCTTCTCCAGGTGCCAACATCCTCCCATTCATCCTTACTACTGCACCAGCATTACCATCATGGTGCCTAGAGACGATCATCATTTGCGTTTTCTCAGGTGCAAATGTTACTTGCCATCTATTTCCCCAAGCTGATATAGCTCTCAGCTGGTGATTGATGTAGCTTAGAGCAGCTGGCATTTCTTCTCTTGGATAAGTGAATGTCAGTGTACAGTCGTCTGCATATGCATGTGATTCTGGGATGAGATGAAGAAGGTCGTTGAAGTAGACATTCCATAACAGTGGACCCAGCACACTTCCTTGTGGAACGCTTGCCCCAATAGGATGTCTTGCTGATTCCGTTCCATTGAGGACTACACTTAGAGATCTACCATGAAGGTAATCACTGAGGAGACATAGCGTAGAGCCTGCAATTCCCAGTGCTTGAAGTTTTGCTAAGAGGCCCTGGTGCCACACCGGTCGAAAGCGCCAGCAATGTCCAGTGCTACCACACAGCTGACTTTGGATTCATCCAGTGACTGGTGCCACTTAGTGGAGAGGTTTAACAACAGATCAGCAGCAGAGTAACCTTTCCTGAAGCCATATTGACGATCACAAAGTAGTGAGTGGTAGTCAAAAAAATCTGTCATTTGTCTTGAGATTATTGTCTCAAGGATCTTACCAGTGATTGACAGGAGTGACACTGGTCTGTAGTTGCTGATTTCTGCTCTGCTCTTCTTTTTGTGAACAGGGACTACATTTGCCTCTTTCCCTCCCCCCTCCCCTCCCCTCCCACTGTGTGTGTGTGTGTGTGTGTAATTTAATATAATTTGTGGCCCTCGACTTAAAAGTTTAGTGGTGATGTAGACCACTATGAATGACACATTGTTATAAACACCAACCTTCCTTAGGCCAATGTGTGCTGATTATGTAAGATTTTTTAATGTTTTGTGCACATATGCTGAATTTTTTGATCAGTTAATAAGTGTCAGCAATACAAGGTATCAGAAACTTTGCTCTTGATTAGAAAAATTGAAAGCAAAACAAGCAAAAAATGGCAAATTTCAAACCACTTTCCAGTATTTTGCAGGAATAGATTACAATGTATTGTTTTCTCCTCAGGTGCACTCCAGTGAGTGCAGCCTGAGTGATATATTATTGTAGGTCCTTTTTAAATACTTAAGCTTTAGTTTTACACTTCCATAGTTTTCACTTTTTTTTTTGAAGTTCATAGATTAGAGTTACAGCATTGAACATTGCTAACTTTATAGTTAACATGAATGCAGTACTGTTATTATTTGTGTACAGTACTTTTCTACTGTATTATATGTAGTTTTTCACCAGAAATTTTTAATACAACTTAAATAAGGAAATATGTGTTAAGATTATATAATAACTCCATTATTTGAGAATATCTAACTGAACTAACCATAATTACTGCATCAGTTCATTCATAATAACCCTATGCATTTTATCCACAGTTGTCCACCAAGAACATTCCTGCCAGCACTCTGCCGCATCTTTCTGGACGAGTGTGCTCCAGATAATGTTTTAGAAGTCACTGCCCGTGCCATTACTTACTATTTGGACGTTTCTGCCGAGTGTACACGTCGCATCACCACAGTAGAGGGTGCAATCAAAGCAATGTGCAACCGTCTTGTAGTGGCTGATGTGTGTTCAAGAACCAGCAAGGACCTAGCTGAACAGTGTATTAAGGTAAAGCTTCTCATTGTATGTATTCTCAAGATTTTAGATTTAAAATCATGTTTCACACAATGTAATTATGTATTACAACTGTTGTATGGTACAATCACAAAAGGATTTCCTAAACAGTAACATTTCAAGTTGTGAGAAATATGCAAATTTAGTAAAGTCCTTTATTTGTATGGTACAATGTTTCACCTATCATTGGGCTTTATCAGGTACAGTGGAACCTCGGTGGTCAAACGCACTGCTTCCCGAGCTAATCATTTTTTGAACAAGGAATTGGAGAAAAAATGTACTGGTTTTCGTACATGCTCTTGGTTGTCAACCAACAATGCTCCCAAGGTTGAAGAATTTAAAAAAAAAAAAAAAATGAGTTTTTCTTATAAAATGATAGAGAATCTTTTTTCAAATGTAATGAAACCAAAAGTACGAAATTAGATGGATAACATACCGAATTGCACTATCGTGGGCTTATTCCATTGTTTCAGTTGACCAAGCTCATAGCTATTCTCCTGGAACTCCTTTCATTCTATCGATTGAGTACAAGAAACTGCTCATTTACCTATTTCAACTACCCAATAAAGTGATCTGAAATTACTAATTTTGCCAATTTCACACTGAATTCAAGAAAGGCCAATTTCAAAATTGGGTCCATAATAAACAATGCAGACATTCCTTGCACTAGAATAACATTTTTTCTTCATTAGTCATGTCTCCGGCCCCGCTTTTCATTTTGAATTTTTATTCACACAAAAAAATGAAGATTTGTTGTTATTCATACTACTGCATAATTGTAATAATTGTGTAAATAATATGCGTATTCATGAATGCATATTTGACCCACCAGTTGATGTGTATTGGACACGTGATGTGATTTGTTTACTCTTGAACATCAGCAAAAATCTAACAGTTTTGCTATTTTGAGCTCAATTTCAAGCAAATTTTAATATGTACACCATTCAGAATCATGTCTATTTCTGTAATATATCTTTAATTCTGTCAAGTGAGACCAAGAAAATAAGAATACAACCATAAATACCATACGAAAATACACCGAAAAGTCGCTGTTTTAAACCAAAAACAGTCTCAGATTTTTTGCTGTGCACACTGACCATGCAGGCCCATTCTAACACATGGAGGCCTACCAGCTTTCTCCCACAAGATTTGAAGCTGCCAGACTTTTACCATTAGCTCTCCTTCTGACAGGTAAGAGGCAGTTAAATTTTCATTTACTGCACAGTATTTCAGTTTAATTTATTTAGTATTCATTTTTACAGTTTCCCTGTGCTGTATAATTTTAGACATTGTTTTATGTGGTATACTGTAGTAAGTATACATTATTATTAATAAATTATTATATTGTCATTTGGGGTCTGGAATGGATTAATTACATTTGCATTATTCTTGATGGGAAAATTACTTTGGTTGTCCATTTTGGCTGTCGAACCAACATCTGGAATGAATTAAGCTCGACAGCCGAGGTTCCACTGTATACGTATACTAGATATGAGAGGCAATGGATTAAATAGTCCATAAGGAGAGACTTCACATGGTTAGGTGTTACCTGGAGGTTACCTGGAGAGGGTTTTGAGTGTCCGCAGCCCGGTCTGAAACCAGGCCTCATGGTGGATTAAGGTCTGATCAACCAGGCTGTTACTGCTGGCTGCACGAAAACTGATGTACGAACCACAGCTTGGCCGATCAGGTACTGACTTTAGGTGTCTGTGCAGTACCTTCTTGAAGACACCCAGGGGTCTACTGGTAATCCCCCTTATGTATGCTAGGAGGCAGTTGAACAGTCTTGGCCTCCTGACACATATTGTGTTCTCTCTTAGTGTACTCGTGGCACCCCTGCTTTTCATTTGGAGAATGTTGCATCTCCTGCCTCGTCTTTTGCTTTCATAGGGAGTGATTTTCGTGTGTAGGTTTAGTACTAATCCCTCTAGGATTTTCCAAATGTATATTATCATGTGTCTTTCTCGCCTGCATTCCAAGGAATACAGATCAAGGGACTTCAACTGTTCCCAGTAATTTAGCTGCCTTATCATACTTATGTGTGCTGTGAAAGTTCTCTGTACATTCTCCAGGTCAGCAATTTTGCCTGCCTTAAAGGGGGCAGTTAGTGTACAGTAGTATTCCAGCCTAGAGAGAACAATCGATTTGAAGTGAATCATCATGCGCTTGGCATCCCTAGTTTTGAAGGTTCTCATTATCCATCCTATCATTTTTCTAGCAGAAGAGGTAGATACATTGTTGTGGTTGATAACTGATGGAGCACAGCAGAAAATCTACTGACCCATGCTCAGTTTACTGTTTTAACCGAAGCAGGAGTCAGTTTTAATGTTTTTGCTAGGGATATAGCCACTATGAGCAGAAGTTTGGATTAACAAAGGGATCTCACTAAGTGTTTTCCTGGTAAATTTGTTCCTGGAACATTTGGAGAAGGATCATTTTTGTGATGTCATACCATGATGCATTACCTGGATGAGGTATGTAGATGACATTCTGATCATGATAACCAGATGGTTCATTCAACCTATTACATCTCCGAGAACATCTTAACGAAGTGGAGCTGTCAGTACAATTTACCCTTAAAGAGGAGGTGAATGCAACTTTACCTGCCCTCATTTGAGACTTGTTAAACAAGATGGAGTCCTGAAGCAAGAAGTATGCAGTAAACCTACCAACAGATACTACTGCTTTCATTTGTTTTCAAAGCATAGTTTAAAATAACTAGAAATTAGTAACCCTTCCAGAATGCAAAACATTAACCTGGCCTATGTTTCTCATACATTTAACAGGATGGTTGTACCACCCTGACCCCTGGGTGTTTGTTATACCCCAACCTACAACTAGTATAACTTTATCCTGTATTTAATTTGCATGGATTCATTTTGGCATATAGTTTTCTAGGAACACAGTGCTGTAGCAAATCAGAATTATTATTGGTCAAAAATTTATGATTAATGGATATGATGTTGGGAGTATTACAGTGCAGTACATATTGTTCTTGTTGTCTTCATCACTGCTTCTCATTAATGCTCTTCCTTCTTCTCCTTGGACTAATGCTTCTGACTACAGTATTGTTTCTGACTAATGCTGCTCCTGCTTATCTGGCTAATGTTCCTGCTTTTGCTTCTGTTCATGTTGCTCCTATGTCTAATACTCCTGCTGTTCCATTTCTGCTGCTTCCAGTCCTGTACTGCAGCCACTCCCACCAGCAATTCTGCTGTTGTTATTTCTAGTCTTGCTCCATGTATTTTATTGTTTTGGTCCTCATCTTACATATTCTCCTGTTTTGTAGGATGTTTCAGTATACAGTACTAATTGGGGATCTAAGAGAGACTCATATTAAGAATCTTCATGTTTTTCAGGTTCTTGAACTGATTTGCACACGTGAAGCTGGTGCAGTTTTTGAAGCAAGTGGTTTGAACTGCGTCCTTTCATTTATTAGAGATAATGGCCATTTAGTTCACAAAGATACACTCCATTCAGCCATGCATCTTGTCTCTCGATTGTGTGGGAAAATGGAACCAGCGGATTCTGGACTTGCTCCCTGTGTTGAGTCTCTCTCTACGCTACTTAGACACGAGGTTCATATAAATTTAACTCATTTTCTTTGTTGTATTATTTTCTTAAGAGTGCCAAGAATATAAAATAAATGTTGCAAGTGTATGGAATTGGTGGTAGGGTACTGAAAGCAGTTAAGAGTTTTTATGAGGATAGGCTCAGGTTAGAGTATGTAGGAGAGTGAGTGAGTGTGTGAGTGAGTGTGTGAGTGTTAGTGAGTGTGTGTGTGTGTGTGTGTGTGTGTTGTGTGTGTGGTGTGTGTGTGTGTGTGTGTGTGTGTGTGTGTGTGTGTGTGTGGTGTGTAGTGGTGTGTGTGTGGTGAGTGTGTGTGGTGAGTGTGTGAGTGTGAGTGTAGTGTGATGAGTGGTGAGTGTGGTGTGAGTGTGTGTGGTGTGTGGTTGTGTGTGTGTGTGTGTGGTGTGTGGTGTGTGTGTGGTGTGTGTGTGTGTGTGTGTGTGTGTGTGTGTGTGTGTGTGTGTGTGTGTGTGTGTGTGTGTGTGTGTGTGTGTGTGTGTGTGTGGTGTGTGTGTGTGTGTGTGTGTGTGTGGTGTGTGTTGTGTGTGTGTGTGTGTGAGTGAGTCAGGAATCGAACGTGGGATGATGTGTCACATGGTTGTCTTATTTGTGTGGGTGTTGAGAAGTGATGTGTGTGTGTGTGAAGAGTGGTAAAGAAGAAATCACGAGAACGAGGGAGCTGGTGTCACCATGTTTTTGCGATGACATTGTTGTATGGGAGTTTGAAGAGAAGTTACAGAGTAGGTGTTGGCAATGGAGGGTGGGATTAAAAGAAAGAAATTAAAGTGAAAAGGGAATGAGCAAGTTGCAGTAATTTTGTTGATGAAAGGCTTTTCTTGGGAGGATATGAGATAAGTTTACAAGTTTGTGGGTGAATTTGGAGATGGTATGTAAAAGAAGATAACATTAGAATGTTGAAGCAAAGAAAGAGCATTGATTGAGAAAAAAAATTTATATGAAAGCTTGGATATCAGATTGGAGGGAGGGAGTATGGAGGGAGTGAATGTATTACAATATTTAGGAGTGACTTGTCAGCAGATGGGCCTATGAAAGATGAGGTTAATCATAGAATTGTTAAGGCAAAGAGATGAGGTGTACATTGAGGAGTCTGTGAAGACAGAGAACATTTTCCATGGAAGCAAAGGGGGGTATGTATGAGAGTATAATGGTATCAATGCTCTTGCATGGGTGGTGTGAAGCATGGGTGATGAATGTTACAACAAGGAGAAGACTGGAGGCATTGGAGATGTCATGTCTGAGGGCAATATGTGGTGTGATTATTATGCAGAGAATCTGTAGCTTGGAGATTAGGAGGAGGTGCAGGGTTTCTAAAAGTATTATCCAGAGGGCTGAGGAGGGGTTGTTGAGGTAGTTCAGATATTTAGAGGGGATGGAATAGAATGACCTGGAGGGTGTATAAAGCTGTAGTGGAAGGAAGGCTGGGGAGGGGTCATCCTAGGAAGGGTCGGAGGGAAAGGGTAAAAGAGGTGAAGTGAGTGATGATGGAAATGTTTCTTCTTTTTATGGGTCACTCTGTCTTGTTGGGAAATGGCCAATGTGTTAATAAAAAAATAAGATTCATTTTTTTTTTTCAACAAGTCGGCCGTCTCCCACCGAGGCAGGGTGACCCAAAAAGAAAGAAAATCCCCAAAAAGAAAATGCTTTCATCATCATTCGACACTTTCACCTCACTCACACACAATCACTGTTTTTGCAGAAGTGCTTAGAACACAACAGTTTAGAAACATATACATATAAAGATACACAACATATCCCTCCAAACTGCTAATATCCCAAAACCCCTCCTTTAGAGTGCAGGCATTGTACTTCCCATTTCCAGGACTCAAGTCCGGCTGTTTAAAAATAACCGGTTTCCCTGAATCCCTTCACTAAATATTACCCTGCTGACACTCCAACAGATTGTCAGGTCCCAAATACCATTCGTCTCCATTCACTCCTATCGAACACGCTCATGCACGCCTGCTAGAAGTCCAAGCCCCTCACCCACAAAACCTCCCTTACCCCTTCCTTCCAACCTTGTTGAGGACAACCCCTACCCTGTTTAGTTTTACTTTAATACAATATTATTAAATATTTTCCATTATAACTATATTAAGCATAAGACTAAAAGAAACATGTAGATGGCTTAGTATTTTTTAGTAACTAAATAAAATAGCAAAGTTTTTAGTTAGAGCTCTTGGCTTTTATCTACTTTCTCATATGTTGTATTTCCATGTCTGAACTACTGTAATTAAAGTGTGCACTATTTAGTCTTTATAAAAAAATCTTTAATGAAAATACAAGTTAATATTTCTTTACTGCAAAAATTTTAGTTGAAGTAATTTTCATTTGTTAATTTTCAGGATCAGCACGTAGCAGATGGAGCTTTACGTTGTTTTGCCTCCTTGGCTGACCGCTTCACTCGGCGAGCCCAGGACCCAGCGCCTCTTGCACAGCACTGCCTTGTTACACACCTTTTAGCTCGTTTAGCTGGTGAGATGTTTTTCTGATTAGCCTCAGTAATGTAAGCTATACCAAATTGTTATCCCTTCTAGAAAGACACTAATGTTACTCAAATCTTTACTTTTCTCTGTGTGATTTACTAAGTTGTTTGTTCATCCTTTTTCCCTCTTCCCTTCTTTCCTTACCCCTTTTTTCTTGGAGACAGTAGAGAGAAAAACAAAAATTATAGCAAGTGTTTATACACCTGGAGGTGTTAGGTGAATGGTTAGGGAATTATGAGTCAAATGAAAGAATTATTGTGAGGACCCAAATGCTGAAGAGGTTTGAGACAGTTTTAGGTGTGGTAGCTAAGGTTGGAGTTATGCGGACGAACGAAAGTAGTGGGCTCTTAATTGAGTTGTGTAGTAAGGGATTTGGTAATAGATAATACTTGAAAGATTGGATAGGGTGCAATGAGAGCAGTTTGTTAGATTATGTTTTAGTATTTAAAAGGTTAATGAGTAGTTTTATAGAGGTGCATATTTTAGAGGATATCTGAAGGATACCTCAAGGGCATTTCTGGGGGGGCATTGCTTCCACAGCCTGGTTCCAGACCAGACTTCCTGGTGAATTAAGGCCTGATCAACCAGGATGTTACTGTTGGCTGAATATGTTCCACCATATGAACCATAGCAAAGCAGGTTGGGCACTAATTTGAGAAACTTGTCCAGTGTCCTCTTCAAGACTGTCAGAGCGCATTAAAAAAGTCAGGGGACCTGTGACACTCATCGAGTTCTTTCTTTTTGTACTTGTTGTGCCCCTACTTTTTAGTGGTGTTTTGCATTGTCTGGCAAGTTTCCTATTGTCATATGGAGTGAGTTTATTGTTCAGGTTTGGGCCAGTCCCTCCAGGATTTTCCAGGTGTAAATTATTATGCATCTTTCTTGCATACATTCCAAGAAATACAGTTGAAGGGACTACAAGCATTCCCATTTGTTCAGATACTTGATCGGGTGTATACGAGCATTGAAAGTTCTCTCTACGTTTTCCACCTCAGCAGTCCCACAGTATACAGTATACAGCAGTATTCTGGTTTAGAAAGTTCTAATTATCCAGCCTATCATTTTTCCTGAGGTAGCAAAAGCAATATTGTTTTGATCCTTGAATTTGAGGTCATTCTGTAGTGGCTACAGTAAGAGAAAGGGGTGCAAGGAGACGGGCAGCAATGGCTATGAGAGAAGCGAAAGTAAATGAATTAGAGAGTCAGTCAGTTTCAGAAAGATATAAGCAACTGTTGGGTAAGTTGAGCTACAGAAAGTACAAGAAAGAGGTTCAGGAGGTATGGGGTAAATTTAAGAGAGCTGTATTTTGCTATAGTGTGAAGCAGAAGTTTGTGGGCATAGAAGGGTGGGTGCAGGTAAGAAGAGGAGTTATTGGTGGAATGATGAGGTAAAGAGAGTGGTAAGGGAGAAAAAAATAGCATATGAGAGGTTTTACAATGTAAAAATGGTAAATAAATGGTGAGGAAGAAGGAAGTTAAAAGAGTGCTGAGAGAATGAGTCAGTCTTCATCAGCAAATTTTGCTGATAATAAGAAATTGCTTTGGATAGAGATCAGTAAGGTTAGGAAATCTGGAGAGCAATGCAAATGAACTTAACAATTAAAAACAAAAGAGGGAGATGTTAGATGGGGAGGTAGATGCTTCTATCAATCGTGTATTTTTTCAGTTTGAAAAATCTGTATTTTTTATTTACTTAGGAGCTGCTCCGCAGCCAGCGCCAGGTGCTGCTGCTGCGGCTGCCCCAGGAGCACCTGTAGCCACTCAAGAAAACTCCAAAACATCTGCCTCTGTCTCCACTGTGATTTCTCTGCTGTCCACACTCTGCAGAGGCTCGCCTAGTATTACCCATGTGAGTACTATCTAAGAACACATGCATACACACACTAACCACAACTCTCCCCACCCCCACACACACACACACACACTTTCACTCTTTCACTCATACTCTCACATATGTACATTCATACTCTCATGTATGTACATTCATACTCTCACATGCACTCATGCTGTCATATGCACTCATACTCTCACATGCACCCATACTGTCACATACACTCATACTCACACTCTTACATTCACTCACACTACATACCCCTTCATCTCTCACACTCAAATCTCACACACACACACACACACACACACACACACACACACACACACACACACACACACACACACACACACAACACTACAACCCTACACACACACACACACCCCTACAAAAAACCAAACAACACCCCAAACCCTACACACACACACACACCTAACAACACACAACCTCAACAACCACACCCTACACCACCACACACAAACACACACACAACACACACACACACACACCACACACCCAACACACACACACAACTAAACCCTACCACCCTCACCCCTACAAAACCCTACACACACACACCAAACCACACACAACACACACACACACACACCTACACAACCCTACACAAACCAAACAACACACACACCCCTACAAAACACCTACACAAAACCCTACACACACCCTACACACACCACAAACCTATCACACCCTACCACACCAAACACAACCCTAAACAACCTACAACCACACACCTACACACACACCCTACACACACCCTACACACACAACACCACACACAACACCTACAACACACACCTACAAACCCCAACACACCCTACACACACCACACACACACACACACACAACACACCACACACACACCCCACAACACACACACCTCCCACACCCCTTTACACCTTACCCCCTTACACCTTAACACACCTTACCCCACACTTACACCCCACCTAACCACACCTTACAACCAACACACACCTTACACACAAAACCTTCACAAACCCCTTTCCCCCACACACACCTTACAACACACACCTTACACACACACCCCTTTAAACACACACCTTCACACACACACCTTACACCAACCTTACAACAACACCCTACATCACCCTACCAAAACCCCCCATCACCCTACACTCACCCTACACTCACCCTACACTCACCCCTACACTCACCCTACACTCACCCTACACTCACCCTAACCACCCTATACACACCCAACACACACCCTACACACACCCCCCCCCACACCCCCACCCCCACACACACACACACACAAACCACCCCAAACAAAAACAAACACACCCACCACCCCCAAACACCACCCACACACAAAAACACACCCCCACACACCCCCCACACACACCCCCAACACACACACACCCCACCCCCCACCCACACCCACACACACACCACACACCCACCCCTACCAAAAACACACAAACAACCAAACCCAACCCCCAAAAACAAAAAAACAAAAGCCACCCCCCCCCCAAACAAAAACCACCACAACCAAAAGAATCAGGAGGAAAACAAAGGGAAGGATGGAAATAAATGGGGAAGGTGATGGGGAATTAAAGAAACGCCGAGAGGTTTGCAGGAGCTCCCGTTTTGGGTTTTTTGGGGCCAGTTGGTTTGGAAAAAGGAATTTGCCCGCAATCTGGATTTGGTCATTAACCAAAAAAAAAAACTGCTTGGAACTTGACACCTAAAAGGGCGGGGGACCAGAAAAAATCTCTCCGTGGGCCCTTTAAAAGAGGAGCAGAATATTGTGTTCCGTAACAAAAAATTAAACACATCATTTGAAAGGGGAAACTCCTAGGTAGGGAAGAGGCAAATTTTTTCCCCCAATTTTTTAAAAAAGGGGAGACAGACATGAGGCACTAAACTGCAGACCCCATGCTAAAAGTGTATAGTATGCAAGGTCATGGAGAAGATCATAGGAGGGAAAAAGGGGAGCACCTGGAAAAAAAAAACAAGTGTATAAAAAGACAACCCGCATGGGTTTAGGGAGGGAAAAACCTGTGTCACAAACCTCCTGAGTTTTTTACAAGGTGACAAAGTAAGCAAGAGAGAGGGGGGGGTGGATGACTGCATTTTTTTGGACTGCAAGAAGGCCTTCGAACAGTTTCTCACGAGGGTTACTGCAAAAGCTAGAGGATCAGGCACACATAAACATTACAGGCACTGCAAGGGAAATCAGAGAATACCTGACAGGGAGGCAACAACGAGTCATGGGACGTGACGAGGTGTCAGAGTGGGCGCCTGTGACAAGCGGGGTCCCACAGGGGTCAGTCCTAGGCCCTTTGTGCTGTTCTTGGTATATGTGAATGACAAAAGGGAAAGGGGATAGACTCAGAAGTTTTCCTTGTTTGCGGACGATGTGAAGTTAATGAGAAGAATCAAATCGGATGAGGATCAGGCAGGACTAAAAAGAGACCTGGACAGGCTACAAGCCTGGTCCAGCAACTGGATCCTTGAGTTTAACCCTGCCAAATGCAAAGTCATGAAGATTGGGGAAGGGCAAAAAAGACCGCAGACACAATATAGTTTGGACGGCCAAAGTCTGCAAACCTCACTCAAGGAAAAAGATCTGGGGGTGAGCATAACACCGAGCATATCTCCCGAGGCGCACATCAATCAGGTAACTGCTGCAGATCGGGGGGCCTGGCAAACCTACGGATAACGTTCCGATACCTCAGTAAGGATTCGTTCAAGACTCTGTATTCCATTTACGTCAGGCCCATACTGGAGTATGCAGCACCAGTTTGGAATCCACACCTAGTCAAGCATGTCAAGAAATTAGAGAAAGTGCAAAGGTTTGCAACAAGACTAGTCCCAGAGCTATAGGGATTGTCCTACGAAGAAAGGTTGAGGGAAATCGGCCTGACGACACTGGAGGCAAGGAGGGTCAGGGGAGACATGATAACGACATATAAAATACTGCGCGGAATAGACGAGGTGGACAAAGACAGGATGTTCCAGAGATGGGACAAAAAAAGAGGTCACAATTGGAAGTTGAAGACTCAGATGAATCAAAAGGGGTGTTAGGAAGTATTTCTTCAGTCATAGAGTAGTCAAGCCGTGGAATAGCCTAGATAGAAAGTGAAGTAGTGGAGGCGGGAGCCATACATAGTTTTAAGGCGAGGTATGATAAAGCTCATGGAGCAGGGAGAGAGAGAGGACCTAGTTGCAATCAGTGAAGAGGCGGGCCAGGAGCTATGAATCGACCCCTGCAACCCCAAATAGGTGAGTACACACACACACACACACACACACCCTACACACCCCAACACCCTACACCACACACACACCCTACACACACACACCAAAACCCTACACACACACACACACACCCTACACACACACACACCCTACACCACCTACACCCCACACACCCTACACCACACACAACACCCACACCCTACACACACACACACACACACACACCAAACCCTACACACACACACACACACACCCTACACACACACACACACACCCTACACAAACACACCCCACACACACACACACACACCCCACACAAACACACCCTACACACACACCCCTACACCCCACCCAACCCCCCCCCCACCCCCCCACCAACACCCCCCAAAACCCCTACCCAACACACCCCCCCCACCCCCACACACCCCCCCCCCACACCCCCCCCCACCCCCCACACACCCACACCCCCCCCACACCCCCACACCCCCCACCCCCCACCCCCCCAAAACACCCCAACCCCCCCCACCCCCCACCCCCCACCCACCCCCCCACCCCCCCCCCACCCCCCCCCCAAAACCCCCCCCCCACACCCACACCCCCAACCCACCCCCACCCCCAACCCCCCCACCACCACCCAACACACACCACCCAACACACACAAAACACACACACACCCCACCACCAACCCAACCCACACCACACCACCCCCACCCAACCCACCACACCCCCCCCCCCCCCCCCACCCCCACCCCCACACCCCTCCCCCCCAACCCACCCCACCACCCCCTCCCCCCAACACCCCCCCCCCACCCCCAACCCCCAACCACACCACCCCCCCACACCCCCCCCACAAAAACCCCCACACCACACACACAAACACACACACACACACACACCACACACACAAATAAAAACAAACACCACACACCCCAACCACACACAAACCTCACAACCACAACCCTCAAACACACCCCCCCCCTAAAAACACAACCCACACCCCAACCAAAACCACCCAAACCCACACCACCAACACAAACAAAAAAGGGAAAGTTAAAGGATATAACAAGGAATTCCTGAAAGGAATAAACCAAAACTGCGCACAAGGGCCCCAGAAATGAACAGTTTCGACCAAATAAGGAATTCGGGGCCCCGACAGGATGTTGGGCCCAAAGGAGATGGCCCCTTTTAACCCCAAAGGGCAACAGTGGAAAAAAACTAAGAAAGTGAATTTCAAAAAGTTTGGAGTTGGGGGTTTTCCCCTACAGGAGATTAAAATAATAGTGGGAAGGGAGTTGGGGGCAGAAAAAAATAAAAATACTTTAAAAGGGGGAAAAAGGGTTAGATAGGCACGTCAGGGGGGACCATTTTAAAGCAAAACCAGTGAAAACGGGGGGGAAATTTTTTTCACCCCCGAACCTAATGGTTTTGGGAACATTTAACAACCAACAATTTTTAAACAAAAAACCACCCAAATACAACACATAAACCAGGGCCATACCCCCCCACCTCAACAGGGAGACACACACACACACACACACACACACACCACAACACCACACACAACACACAAAAACACACACCTAACAACACACTCAACACAAAAGGCTACACAACACACACACACCAACACCACACAGCATACACACACACACACACACACACACACACATCACACACACACACAAACACCCCTACAACACACCCAACAACACAAAACCCCACAACACACACACACCCACACACACACACACACACAAAAAACCCACAAAACCCCC